ATAAACCTGGTAGCATGGCAGAGTATGAGATTGAACCTGCTACTCAAAAGTTTATTCGAATATTTATTAGTTTTGGGGGTTCTATTTCCGGCTTTCATCGGTGTAGGCCGATGATATGTTTGGATGGGACTCACATTAAAAATAAGTACAAAGGATGCTTGCTTTCTGCTGTGTGCAAGGATCCAAATGATTCCTTATATACATTGGCATACGCAGTTGTTGATGCTGAGAATGATAAAAACTGGGAGTGGTTTTGCATTAAACTGAAACAAATTCTAGATCTTCACAATGACAATAGATCTTTTACCATTTTCTCTGATCGTCATTCGGGGCTTCTTAAAGCCGTCCCGTTGGTATTTCCTAGTAGCCACCATGCATATTGTTTGCGACACTTGGTGGATAACTTTAGAACTCAGGTATTTTGATTCTCTTTAATATGCAAATTGGAACGTACCATTTGTCACCTCATGTCATACTTTTGTATAACATGTTTCATACTTTTGTATAACATGTTTCATACATTTGTGTAACATGTGTCATACTTTTGTATAACATGTTTCATACATTTGTATAGCATGTTTCATACATTTGTATAGCATGTTTCATACATTTGTATAACATGTTTCAAAATAATATAGGTCCTGAGGAAGTACCCATTGCACAACAAGTCATATTGGGCGAGTGTTTTACATAATGCTGCATATGCTCCTACTCGGCAGGAGTTCGATGCAACTATTTCTCGTATAGTGCAATCTATGCCTCTCGCGGCATCATTTATTTCGAATTCTGATCCAAATCATTGGGCCAATGCCTATTTTTCTGGAGAAAGATGGGGAATCGTGAACAATAATCAGGCAGAAAATTGGAATGGTTGGGTTAAAGATGCCCGATCTTTGCCTGTTCCATCCATGATTGATCACATACGGATCAAAATAATGGAGATGCTAGTTAAACGACAAGGAAAAAGTTTGGCAATGACTGGCATATTGTGCAAGAAAATTCTAAAGAGATTAACAATCAATCATATGTCCTCTCGTTCCTTAAAATATTGTAGATCAAGTAGTACCGCTTTTGAGGTCTATGATGAGGACAAGTCGTATAAGGTTGACTTGCAGCACAAGACTTGTTCTTGTAAAGCATGGCAATTAGAGAAACTTCCATGCAAACATGCATGTGCATGTTTGGAGTCAAAAGGATACTCTGTATATGAGTTTGTTGATCCATGCTTTCATATTGATACGTACAAACAGGTATATCAATTCACGATTAACCCAATTCCCTCGTTTGATGAGGACTTTGACTTGTACGATGCGTGTAATGCTCCGCCCGATGTCTTTGTTAATGCACCTGATTCGAGAACTCGACCGGGACGTAGAAAGACAAAAAGAATTCCTTCACAAGTGCAAACTCGTAAACTGAAGTGTACTCGGTGTGGGAAGCCTGGACACAATCGTCGTACTTGCACACAACCAATCTGACTAGCAATTTTTTTTTTAATGTAAATATTGTCTGCATTTGTGTTACTTAAACTAACTAGTTTTGTTTCTAATGTAAATTTTATGTTTTTCATCAGGGAGGACAAGATGGAGGAGAGCTTACATGATTGCCCATTATGTTATTCAAGTGATTGAAGTGAATGAAAACTGGCTGTTTGTACTTTATTATTATGTGATTTGTACTATGTTGATTTGAACTTTGTACTATGTTTCAATTTGCACTATGTTTTTGCTATTTGTAGTTTGTACTATGTATTAGGTACTCTGTTCATTGATGGTTTATCATTTTCAGTCTAATGGTACTATTTTTATTTACACATGGTATTATCTATGAGATAGGATGGTATGACTTACTCAATTTATGACCGTTACAATATAGCCGTTGCTTATAATATAGCCGTTGCTTATTGTCAGAACTAGTCAAGTCATAATATGACCATAAATGACACATAGGCTCATTTGTTTCTAATTCATGGCTTCTTCGAGTAGCACCACTCAAATGAGTGGGTTAAAATACAAAAAAGGGAAATGCAAGCGTCTTGATTGTGGGAAGAAAACAATAATCATGGTTTCAGAAACTATTTCGAATCCTGGAAGGTTATTTTACTGTTGCCCACACCATGGCTACTCCCATTGGTGTGAACCATTTGAAGTTGGGCAAACTTTTTCCAACTCAAATCGTGAAGAAAATGAAGCTACAAGTGCGTCGATGAACCAAGTCCATCAAGAAAGTGAAGTGAAGAATTGTAATTCTGAAGGTGGAGTAGTTCATAGTTTGATAGTGTTGAATCTAGTAATATTTGCAGTCTACATGCTATGTAAAACCTATGTACTGTTGTTTAATTAGTGAACATAAGAGTGCAATGTATAAGCTGGTAAAGTTCGGGTTATTCGTGAATATAGTACGTTTTGTTCACCAATTAAGTATAATGTATAAGCTGGTAAAGTACAAGTGAGTCGTGACTATAGTACGATTTGTTCACTGATAAAGTATATGTTTGCCATTCATATAGTATTTTTACACTCTATATATTATTGTCGGGCCAATGCATCCATATGATCGCATTTTAAGACACAACTCTTCAGTTTTAGACTATTAAGAATGAATGGAGACAATGTGGGAGTAGATCAACATCGACTATGGTAAGAATTGAGGAAAGTATTAGTTTTACACTTGAGCAATGTAGACTTGTATGAATATCTTGTATAGTATATGAGTATCATGTATGAAATTCAACATATTTATGGGATCTTGTATTCCAAACGCAAAAATAATGCTCACCTACCTTAAAATAATCATTTAAAACATAATTTATGCATCTCCCGTACTTATTGATCATTAAAACGTCGATGAAATTGGCACAATTCAATTCATCAAAAAATATAGTACGCTTTGTTCACCAATTAAGTATAATGTATAAGCTGGTAAAGTACAAGTGAGTCGTGACTATAGTACGATTTGTTCACTGATAAAGTATATGTTTGCATTCATATAGTATTTTTACACTCTATATATTATTGTCGGGCCAATGCATCCATATGATCGCATTTTAAGACACAACTCTTCAGTTTTAGACTATTAAGAATGAATGGAGACAATGTGGGAGTAGATCAACATCGACTATGGTAAGAATTGAGGAAAGTATTAGTTTTACACTTGAGCATTGTAGACTTGTATGAATATATTGTATAGTATATGAAATTCAACATATTTATGGGATCTTGTATTCCAAACGCAACAATAATGCTCACCTACCTTAAAATAATCATCTAAAACATAATTTATGCATCTCCCGTACTTATAGTACCATGTGTTCAAAAGGCAAGTACATTTCATCGAAACATATAGTACAATGTATACAATGAAAAAGTACGAGTAGAGCTAATCAATAGTATTATTAGCTCTACAACAAAAGGACAGATTGTTTATGGCGTAAAAACACATTCACCTGTTCATTAATTAATTACAAAAAAACACAAAAACCCCAAACCACTTCCACTCCCAGGTTTTTCACAATAACGCCAGATCTATTTCATATTTAGCTTCCACTTCTACTCCCCGATGCCTCAGAAAGATAGCTGCTAGTTTTGGGCGAAGTGTTTTGATATCGCAAGTTTTTGCCTTAAACCAAATATCTTCACTGTCTACAGCATGACAATATGCCCACATGCAGACAAACAAGCCGCAATCAAGGTTCCCATCCTGCTGCCTGCATCCATGAACCCATTTAGCTTCCGATTCTATCTCCAACCCAGACCTTCTTTCAATCACCTTGCTGTAAAACGAGGCCTACGAAAATAAAATATTATATTAGTCTACAAACTTTTATCAGAACAAGCAGGAACCAGTGTTCACTGGAATTGAGAGGTATCATGACAAACTTTTTACTGAAGATATTTGCTGTGTTTAGCTTGTCAAAAGCCATCGTTCCAAAAATAGTAAAATCATTGAGAAGACGATCAAACTTGGCATCGCTCATTCGTTCTACGTCCACCCGAGGTCGCGACAGTAACTCTTGCTACGGAACATAATAGAGAATATTAGATAAACATTGTAATGTAAGACATAACCACGTACTATTGGATAAGTAAACTTGTACTATGTACAAAGTTGCTACATACTATAACATGCAGTGAACATATACTATTGGATAAGTAGACTTATACTATGTACAAAGTTACTACATACTATAACATGCAGTAAACATGTACTATTGGATAAGTAAACTTATACTATGTACAAAGTTACCACATACTATAACATGCAGTCAACATGTACCATTGGATAAGTAAACTTATACTATGTACAAAGTTACTACATACTATAACATGCAGTCAACATGTACTATGCATTCACTTGACATATACCATTAAAGACATTAACGTGTACTATCAAGGTGGTTGTGCTCTTACCCTAAATCAACACTTTCCAAGAACTGATCCAACAATATCCTATCTTCTTCGGATATTTGGTCACGACGTACGTGGTCCTTTCTTCCCCGGTAATAATCGGCATTCTATATAACGAATAAATCACACCAATTATGACAAAAAATAATAATAATGTAATACTAATATTAGATAAAAATACCTTGATCCCAGGGACTGAAACCGAAACCTTGGACACAGGAACTTGTTTACGGCCACGTCCTCGTCCTCGTCCTCGCACGCGTGGAACTTTGGCCTTTGACTTTGACTTTGACTTTCGTCTCCTTCACCTTCCATCCCCTCTACTTCATTTTTTTCTCCTTCATTTTCCCTTTCCTCTATCTCTATCTCTGCCTCTATCTCTATCTCTTTCTCTGTCTCTGTCTCTCTCTCTTTTTCTGTCTCTCTCTCATTCTCTCTCTCATTCACTCTCTCTGTCTCTTTCTCTTTCTCTTTCTCCTTCTCTTTCTCCTTCTCTTTCTCCTGCTCTTTCTCTATCTCTATCTCCTTCTCTTTCTCTATCTCCTTTTCTTTCTTTCTCTTACTCTGCATTTTTTTTTCTTTATTTTTTTCTTATGTTACATTCCCCCTCTTCCTTTTTAAGTTATTCTTCTTATGCTGCAACTAAAAAAAACAATAGTACGAAACATGTTATACAATAGTATTATATTAGTTGACATATAGTATGTTCCAATGTGAATGGAAGTATGAATTTTAGGGTATATTGTATTAATGACTTACAGGTGTTGCTTCCACGTCTCCAATCTCATCTTCACTACTCTCAGAACTTATTTCAACAAATCTGTCAGCACTAATTCCAACAACTGGACCAGAAATTACTTCCAAAACCGGAGAAAGCAACGCTTTCTCTTTCGGGTACACAGAAAATGGTATAACCTAATAAACGTAAAAAAATTGTTAGCAAATACCTAATACATTATATATTTTGTAACTCAAAGTGTTACCTGCACTTGTTTTATCTGATCAAAAAACAACCTAGCTGCTTCTTCATCGATTGGGATTTTGCTGTCTTGCCACCGGAAGAACCGGGGAAATTTGTAAACACTGGTGCTAACCCCTAGTAACGTGATCCTTTCATGCACCCATGCCTGCGTATTTTGGAATCAATATTAATTGGTATATTCAATATAACATAATATATATTCACTATTAGATATCACTTACCAATAAGCCGATAGTGCATCCATCAAAATACTTCAACCCCCCCTTCAGATACCCTTCCATATTCTCAACAAGAATATCATACACCAACTTTCCCCATGCAAAAGACCCTAAAACCTCCAAATCTTCTACATGCGGATAAACCCACCTTTCTAACGTTTTGTTCCCCTTTGGCAGTAGAATAGTATTAAACAGATAAATAGTGTACAATCTGCTGAAATCTTCAACAGATTGTTGATCGGTCATAACTGCATAGGCCTCCAGTTTATAACCAATATATGGCCTCGTCATTAAAGATAACTTACCATAAAAAATACGTGTGATGAAATCAGTGTCTCTGCCATCCATATTCACATCCACCGGTACGCCTTTGTACTGCAGCCCTAATACGATAGATAATTGCTGCGGAGTGAATTCCAAGCGTATAGTATTTCCCCCAAACCAGAAGGCCCGATCTTCTGGATTGTACGCTTGCATGAGAGACACAACCCTATGGAAGCTGTGGTTTATTTTAGGCATGTCCATGTAGTGATAGAAGGGATTTTTCTTCAGTACTTCATGATGTTGTTTCTTCATCACTTTTTTCACACCTTCCATAGTTGTTTGAAAGGCGATCGGTGAGCACCTGCAGCCTATTGATAGCTTGCTGCCTTCTTCTTTTACAACAATTCCTGCAATTACATACACATAAAACAAATACAATTATAACAAATACAATTATAACAAATACAACGTACTATAAAGTTCCACATGTCAATACCATCCGAAGTTACTAGTAATACCATTCAAAGGCACTAGTAATACTATTATGGCATATGACTTATACTACAGGACAATCAAACATTATACTTCTAGTACCACATGTCAATACCATCCGAAGTCACTAGTAATACCATTCAAAGGCACTAGTAACAGTATTGTGGCATATGACACATGCTACAGAACCATCAAAGATTATACCATCTAAATGCACTATTAATACCATTACTGCGCATGACACATACTATAGAACCAGTACGAAAAATACAATAAGCCTCTTTCCCATATCCTATATGAAACCCTTGTTAGGACTCAAAATGCTTTGGGGACATGCTAATGTCACCGAAGAATAATACCCATGAGAAAACTGTTACAAAATCATGAAATTCGACAACAAATAAATGATCTTTGCAAACCCAAACAACAGAACAACAAATATTGGAACCGATTTAATGATTAGGGGAAACACCGAATAAAGTCGAGGCATAATACCCATGAGTGGATATGTTCAAAATCATGCAATTCTATAACAAATAAACCTTTTTGCCCTGCTTAAGCAACACCCAAATGGGTCTGTTTCCAAGAAAATGAAAAAAAAATAAAAAATCAAACCTTGTTGTTTGCCCTGCTTCACCATTGTTTATAAATGGGTTTGTTTATTTCTATTTTTCCGTTCGCTTTATACTATTTTTCTGCGGTTTGTTGATTCTTCGTGCTTCGTAATTTCTTCCTTCTTTGTTGTTTCTCTGTTCTTCGTTTCTCTGTTGCGTTTCTTCTTGGTCTGAAAATGGGTATAACTGAACGGTGGTTTTTTTCTGCGCCTTTTTAGCTTCTTTTTTGTTGTTTGATTTTTGAAATGTAACGGGCAAAGAGCGTGTAACACAAACGGCGCGTTGGAAGTTGAAAAGAAGTTATGTAAAATTAGTATAAAGTAAAGGGTATTTTAGTATTTGCACATTTTATTAGGGACTGATCTGCATGTTAGGCGCGTGAGTAGGGACTGAATTGCTTGGGGAAACTACCTAGGGACTGATCTGTGTTTCAAGTTTTGGATTAGGGATTTATCTGTAGTTTCCCCTAAAAAATAATATATAATGTTGGTCAAAGTACTAGTCAACGCACATGTAGCCGCCGAAGAAGAAAAGGAGAAAAGCAACACTCGATTCAACACCGCCACAACAATCCAAAAGTGCACCCACTTCTTAAATCCGCCATTCAGGCATTAACACAAACACTTAACGAGCAAAACCAGAAAAAAAAAATGGTGGAAGAGATTCCGGTGATCGATTTGCAGGATTTTCCGAGAAGCTTACCGAAGCTGGTCGAGGCCAGTAAAGAATGGGGATGCTTCCGGATCGTGAATTTCGAGAGGATCCTACCCGTTTCGCTGATGCACGAGATGAAGGCAGTCGTATCTTCTCTCATGGAGCTGCCGTTAGAGATCAAACGGCGTAACGTCGACGCAGTTGCGGGAAGCGGGCACAAATTGTCGGGTGGGGTCAACCCGATTCACGAGGGTTTGGGTTTCTATGACATTGCTTCCTCTCAGGCTGTCGATGAATTCTGTACTCAGTTAGCTGCTACTCCTCACCAAAGGTTCGAACTTTTTTTTATTTTTTATTTTATTTTTGAATAATTAAGCTATTTCTAGTTGCTATTATTACTGTAGCTTTTGATTTTTGATTTTGCGATGAATCAAGATTGTGTTTGGCTTCACTTCTGCTGGCAAATAATATCTTAAGATTCGGAGGTTTTAAGGTTTTAATTCTTAATTTTAAGGTTTTGTTTTACTGGTTTAATCTTGTCACTTGTGTGTGATCAAATTGAACTATTTTATTTGGTATTAATCGAAAAGGAAAATACAAGTTGGGATCTTCATATATGAAATTAACAACAACTGTTTTTTCTAAACTTACACAAGCTCCCAATTTTGAAGATTCGGGTCGGAAAACACGAATAATGTATGTTGAGAAGCAAGAAAAGGTCTTTGTTGCAATCCAAAAATTGTGTTCTTAGACAACCGTTCCGTGTAAGATCTTCCTATTGTTTACGCCTTCTTGATTTCTATGATTAATGATCAAGCTACTATTCGGCATTTGTACTGCAGATATATATATACATTTGTTGTCTTAAAGTTTGACTACTCAGTAAATCCTAGTTATCGCATCGCGTAAAGAACAGAGAAGAAAACGACTAGAAAATCCTATTCAATAAACCCTAATTTTGTCGTCTTCAAAGTCTGGTGTTGATTATGTCGTATTAATGATGATTTAAATTAATTACAGTTAAACCTCTATAAATTAATACAGTTGGGATCAGGGAAATTCTATTAATTTAGCGAATTATTAAATTATTGAGTTAATAATTTAACACGTTTTCACCAAGTCGGGACCGGGAGAAAATATTATTTAATCGAGGTTATTAATTTATCGAGGTTCTATTGTACTAACATTTTAGAATTATCACCATCAGGGAGACGATTACGAGATATGCTAAAGCAGTAAACGAACTTACTATCGATATCGGGCGTAAAATAGGACAAGGGCTGGGCCTAAAGGAAGTTCCGTTCGAAAGTTGGCCCAGCCGATTAAGGATTAACAAATACCCTTTTGCCCCCGAAACTATCGGCTCCGATGGGATAAAAACCCACACGGACAACGGATTTGTTACCATACTGCAGGCTGATGAGCAATTAAGTGGCCTCGAAATAATGCGAAAATCGGGCGAAATTGTTGCTGTTGAGCCTTGTCCGGGGGCTATTCTTGTCAATTTCGGGGATATTGCTACGGTAAGTGAATCTAATTTCTAGACGCTTCTCGTGAAATGCCGCGTTTGATTAGCAAGATAATGCGATAATTATCTTGAGTTTATTGCATTTAGTATCGAACTGCAAAAAAACTCCGTGTGCTATAAATATTACCAATAGCCCCCTTATTAATGCACTTTTTAACCGCACACCCCCTCAAAAGTGAGTTTTGAGGGGTTAATTTGCTAAAAAAAATTGAATCGTATGGGGGTGGTTTTGCTAATAAAATTAACAATTAGAGAAAGTCCAACTGTTTAATTAATCATGGCTAATCTCCCAAAACAGACAAGGCTTCTAAGATTGCCATTCTTTTCTTGATTATTCTTATCTTGGCAGCCAAACGAAGCCTAATAACATTTTTTATTTCAGAACAACTCATAAACACATACTTTTGTTTCCTCTTTTAAATTGTGAAGGCTTGGAGCAACGGAATTCTCTATAACGTGAAGCATCGAGTGGTGTGTAAGCAACCAGGAATCAGAATTTCGATAGCTACGTTCCAAATAGGACCAAGAGAAGGATTAGTGGATGCACCAAATGAATTAGTGACGAAAGAAAATCCTCGTCTTTTTGCTCCGTTCAGGTTCGAAGAATATCGGAACGCTAGGTTTTATAAGGACTTAAATGCCAGTGAAGCCCTTGATCTCTTTCGTGTCGAATCGTGATATACATATTTCGAAGCTGTTACTGTGTCTATTCTTTAGCTATGTAGTTTAAGAATTATACATACTCTGTTACAAATCTTAATAAAATGTCTTGTTTTGTGCGAACCAATGTGACATCAGTTAGCAACATTATGTTGCAGTATATACATATAAATTTTACATGTGCATTTAGCATCATACGTCGACTTGTTGAAAAATCGAAACGTAAAGAAACGAAAAGTTGGCTTTAATGAAGAAAATGCATCACTCTGAATCCTAGCGAATCATTAATAACCAATTACGGTCACCCCGTGAGTTAAAGTCAAATTACCAAAAAACATCTCTTGTTTAAGTAATTATAATCACCCTCTTCAACTACAACTATGAATCTTCTTACGTCCACTATTATGGTGTTCAATATAATATTCTCGATTCCGTGGAATATTTTCTAGTTTGTACTCGTTTTGTGTAAAAATGCAGTTTTTGATGCACCAAAATTTGAAATTTACAAGTCAAGAGACAAATCTTATGATCATCTTGTTTCAAAATGTGGAGCTCGAATGAGATAAAACTGGTACAAAATGGAGAGTATTCCATAAAATCTAGAATATTCCACTAAATTTGACACCGCAAAAGTGTACGTATAAGAAGATTCAGAGTCGAGGGAATTGTTGTAATTATCCAAACACGAGGGTTTTTTTTTCTCGTAATTTGACATCTTCTCAGGAGGTGGCCGTAATTTACCTGGGAAATATGAAATGAAGAGCGACGAAAAGACGGTCCAACAAGAAACCGACACATGTCGACACAAACAACGTATGAGAACTCTAAAGCTACTTTTTCTAGTAAATAAATACCAAACTCTCTTTCTATCTCATACCATCTTCAACAAATTGTTAACTTTGAGTTTGACAAAAAAGTTTAACAGAAAATGATTTAAAAGAAAAATAGAAAGCCTGGGGAACATGTTGTACCCACGATAAGAAGCACACCCGATTAAAACCCGGAAACCTGTCTCCACACAACAATCCAAAAGTGCACCCCCACCCCCCTTCTTAAATCCGCCATTCAGGCATTTACACAAACACTTAACGAGCAAACCAGAAAGAAGAAAAAAAAAATGGCGGAACAGATTCCGGTGATCGATTTGCAAGATTTTCCGAGAAGCTTACCGAAGCTGATCGACGCCAGTGAAGAATGGGGTTGCTTCCGGGTCGTGAATTTCGAGAGGATCCTACCCGTTTCGCTGATGCGCGAGATGAAGGCAGTTGTATCTTCTCTGCTGGACCTCCCGCTGGAGATCAAACAGCGTAACGGGCACGCGATTGCCGGAAGTGGGTACCTTGAACCGGGTCGGATCAACCCGATTCACGAGGGTTTGGGCCTCTACGACATTGCTTCCTCTCAAGCTGTTGATGAATTTTGTACGCTGCTGGAAGCTACTCCTCACCAAAGGTTCGAACTTTATTTCTTATTTAATCCATTTTCTAGTTGCTGTGAATGATTTAAGAGTAAATTACGAAAACCTACGTGAACCTACGCTAAATAATGAAAAACATCCCTACCGTAATTACCAAAAAACCCTGAGATTTGTTTCTGTCTTACACCAACTTTACACAATTTTAACAGTTTTAGATGTTTTCTTTCATTTCTGACCTATTTAACAGATATATAATAGACTGTAGACATTTTCCGTTAAAAAACTCGATCAACAGTTAATCAAAGGGGGATTTTGGTTATTATAGATATGTAAAAGTGTTTTTCGTTATTTAGCCTAAGTTCAAAGGGGTTTTCGTAAATACTAAATTATATAATTTTCTCACCATCAGGGAAACGATTACGAGATATTCGAAAGCAGTGAACGAACTCATTACGGATATCGCGCGTAAAATAGGAGAAGGGGTTGGCCTAAAAGATGATGTTCCCTTCGAAAAGTGGCCGAGCCAGTTCAGGATTAATAAGTACCCTTTTGCACCCGAAACTATCGGCTCCGATGCGCTGAGACTCCATACGGATAACGGATTTCTCACAATAGTGCAAGACGACGAGCATTTTGGTGGCCTTGAGATAATGCGGAAGTCGGGCGAATTCGTTGCTGTCGAGCCTCGTCTAGGGGGTATTCTTGTCAATTTTGGAGATGTTGCTACGGTAAGTCGGTCCTAATTTCTAGATACCCTTTTGTTAAAGTCTCGTTTGGTTGGCAAGATATAGCTGTAATTGATAAGATGCATGATTGGATCTTTGTTTGATATTGTTTGGCTAGTGAATAATTGGAACTCCTTAGGCCTCGTTTGGTTGGCAGGATTAGATTAGTCACGATAAGATTACAAAATCGTGTGTGAACACAATCGTGTAATTGGATTAGAGGAGGTCTAAAATGCAATTTCCCGATGCAATAAGATTAGGGTTCGGTCCGAATAGTTATTGGACTGACCAAACATTAAAAGTAAGGTCCAATATGTGTTTGACCGAACGAGACCTTAGTCAAATATCTTATCTTGGCAGCCGAACGAGGCTTGAGAAATTGTTTTAGAACTACTCGTTACAAAAGATACAATTTTTTTTTCTTTATTATTTTTTTTTTGGAAGGCTTGGAGCAACGGAAGATTCTATAATGTGAAGCATCGGGTGGTTTGCAAGCAAGAAGGAATCAGAATTTCGATAGCTACGTTTCTCTTAGGACCGAAAGAAGGATTAGTGGAGGCACCCCCTCAATTAGTGACTAAAGAAAATCCTCGTCTTTTTGCTCCGTTCAAATTCGAAGAACTTCGGAATGCTCGATTTTATAAGCACTTAAATGCCGGTGAAGTTCTTGATCTCTTTCGTGTGGAATCCTAATATTTTTGAGCTAGTATTGGTTGTTCTTCATCAAATTATCAATGTGTTGTTTAATAATGATGTATTATTACGTAAGTACAAGTATTGGTATTCCTTATTGAAAAATTATGTACTATAATAATCTTTAGAAATGCTCAAGTTCACACATATTTTATTTGAAAATAATGTTCTAATAAATTTGTGACCAAATTTATTTTCAAATATAGTTGGATTATCAATGGCGCCATTTTTTTTCCCCTTTTTTCTTCCATATTTATTGAAGTTCCAAACTCATAATGAAATATACAAGTATTGCACAACTGTTATGTATATAGTGGTTATTTATATCCTACACTAGGTAGATTATAATCGTTGATCTACACATACCGGTGTGTGTGTGAATGGTATAGATGGACGCGAAATATTTCACCTGATGTAGCTTGGAGGGTGTTTGGCTGAGCTTATGAGTTGTTGAAAAGAACTTATAAAATGTTTAAGAGCTTATAAGTTTTTCAAAGTGTTTGATAATTTGTTCTGAAAAAAATCGTAAAAATTCAAAAAAAATATAAGTTGTTGGTTGGAGAGCAAATAAGATTTTTTTTTAAATGTATCGATACCACAACTTTTTATTTAAGATGGTAAAAATAGATTATAAGTTCATTATCCAAACACTTAAAAAATAATTCTAAAAATAAGACATAACAACTTATCAGCAGCTCTTAAAACAATTTATCATACGTAAAAGTTTATCAATTATTTAAAATAAGCTTAGCCAAACATAACCTTTTGCTGCTTAAAACAATTTATCATATGTAAAAATTTATCAATTATTTAAAATAAGCTTAGCCAAACATAACCTAAGTATAAACATGCATATGGTTACCAACCCTCTCAAGATGTATATCATAATTTATTCTAAATAATATGATTTTTCGTCAATAAAAACAAATAATAATTTTGACATTTAACAAACTGTCACTTTTTGACAGATCATATATTAGTTTGTGAGAATAATTGGATTTCCATAAACATTTTTCTTTTCAATTATAATTTACCCAAAATAATATGAATTTTCATAAATGAAAACAAATGATTAAAATCATTAATATATACACATGCATATAAATGGAATTTTTTTTTTACTAAAAAACATATGACAGGCAAAGAGATGATGTTGAAATACAGCCATAGCTTACCTAAATCTTTTCCGAAATCCCCTTACCACATATTAAATCATTAGTTTCCTTTAAACTAGGATTAACCATCATCATTACCCAATTTAATTAGTTATTTATTACTACTAAATATATGAATACTTCAAATTTATATTTCCCTCCATTGAATTTTTTTAACCATTCATCCAAGCAAAAAAAATCTTTTTCTTCACAAATAATTTCATTTTTCTCTTCTTCCTTTTCCTTTTCTTGGTAGAAAGAAAATCATATAAAATAATGAAGTTTCAACCCTCGGAACTCCCCATAGGAAAGCCACAACCGAGACGAAGAACATCGAAACTCGCCCCGCTCGTCGCCCTAACGATTCTCCTAACAATCCCTTTATATTACCCTTCAATAAAAGATTCCACGAAAAAACTCTCCGTGGAAGAAACTTCGCAAACGTTCGAATCTTCTTTAGACGATTCGATTAAACGGTCTTTAGACAATTCAATTAAAGAGCCAACCTCCCATTTAGAGACTTCTCCTATCGAAAACCCCAGCACCGACCCCTGCTCTGGCGACGGTGCTGAATGCAATGTCGACAAGAGCAGGGATAATGATGATGATGTGGCGGCGGAGGCTGTGGTCCCACAACCGCCTCCGCCACCACATCATCAGTCACCGCAGAAAAAGAAGCACGAAAAGGGAGGGCAAAAACATAAAAAGCCCGCCCGTAAATACTCTTCTCCTTCGTCGTCGTCGTCGTCGTCGTCGTCTCACCAAGAGATTGTAAGCAGAGGGGGCGATAGGGGGGCGGTTAGAGAGAGAATTTTGGACGACGAACAATGCGATTTGTTTTCGGGCGAGTGGGTCCCGGATCCCGATGGGCCGTATTATACGAACGATACATGTAACGCGATACAAGAGCATCAAAATTGTTTGAAATTTGGAAGACCCGATAGAGGGTTCTTGAAATGGAGGTGGAAACCCAATGATTGCGAAATGCCCGTTTTCGACCCGACCCAGTTTCTGGAGCTTGTTAGGGGGAAATCAATTGCTTTTGTTGGTGATTCTGTGGCTAGGAATCACATGCAGTCTTTGATTTGTCTCTTGTCAAGGGTAAGTATATACATACATATATCTATACATATATATTAGTTTTGTTTTTATTTCTTTAATTTGCTGGTTTTAATGATTCTGAATTAACTAGTTTTTTTGTGCCTGCAAAAAAAATTGATGATGCAATTTGCAGTCAATGTAAGTCAGCCTGTTGATTAAGGAAAATTTTCTTGATGATGATATTAAAAACTAATATATCAACCATTGGATTCCTTTTAAGCAAATTACAATCACCTCCTTGAGGTAAAGGCTATTTACGAAAAAAACCTTTCGTGTTCTAGAAATTACATATAGTCCACTACAATGTGTAAATTTCTTTCATACACCTTCCCTACAAAAGGGTGTTAATGTAATAAATTTATAAGTTACGGGATTGGATGTATTTATAAAAAAATTGAGAGGTTTTTCATAAATCTCGAATGGCGGTTGTAAACTTGTAATAACCCTTCCTTTTATGCATTGTATGTAGGGGTAGAAATTAAAACCGAGTTTCTAAATTCCTCCCATATAAAAAATTTCCTATTTTTCGAACAATATTTTCTTTGGTTTATTTTTGTTATTCGAATTGGTATAGCAATTTTGATTTTCGATTTCCTATTCGGCCTTAATTTTCTAGAAAAAAAATCAAAACATAGAAAAAAGAAAATCCGAATTCCACCCATTTCAGTTCAAAATTTTCTATTCCGGGAACAAGTATTCACTTCTAAATTTTCAATTACTCCAATTTTTAATTTTAGGAAAAATTACGAAAACACTTCTTCTGTTTGGGTAATTACATTATTATTTTACAAAAATACCCATCCACAGGTAAATTTAGGCATGCTAAATCGGTAAAATCGAACAGAAATTTCGGTACGCCCATATTTTATATCGTTTACCGAACTGAATATACGATTTGATTCTGTAAATAACCGAGGGAGGTGGTTGTAATTACCCAAACAAGAAGAGTTTTTGATGACGGGTGGCCGTAATTTTCCTTATTTTTATTTTAGAATATAATAATGGGAATTAATTTACACTTCTAATCACGTATTAAATCTCATAGTATAGATTCTAATCATAATTAACGTTGCAATTATTTTATTTTTTAATTTTAAAATTATCAGGTAGCAATTCCGGTGGATTTATCTGATCCGTTGGATCAAAACCGACGGTACGAATTCCGCGACCACGATTTCAATATTTCCATGTTCTGGGCGCCCTATTTAGTAAGAACAGAAAAAACAGACCCAAAAGACGAAAAACGCCCTTTCAATCTCTACCTCGACGAATTCGACCGCCACTGGCAGACCGGAATCGCCGCCTTCGACTACCTCATCATCTCCGCCGGCCACTGGTTCTTCCGCCCCACCTACTTCTACCTCGACGGCCGCCTCGCCGGCTGCCTCTACTGCCCCGACCCCAACCTCCCCCACCTCACCTCCTACTTCAGCTACCGCCGCGCCTTCCGCACCGCCTTCAGCGCCATCAACGCCGCCGGATTCTCCGGCGTCACCTTCCTCCGTTCCTACGCGCCGTCGCACTTCGAGGGCGCCGCGTGGGACAAGGGCGGCGACTGCGTCCGCACGCGCCCCTTCCGGAAGGACGAGATCCAGTTGTCGGATTACAGCCTGGAGATGTACTTGATACAGCTGGAGGAGCTGAGAATTGCACAGAAAGTAGGGAGGAGAACCGGAGGGAAGTTTAGGCTTTTTGATGCCACCAGGGCTATGCTGCTTAGACCCGATGGCCATCCTAGTAAATATGGCCACTTACAAGGGGCAAATCAGTCATTTGCTAATGACTGTGTGCATTGGTGCTTGCCTGGCCCGATTGATGCTTGGAATGATTTCTTGCAGGAATTGTTGAAGAGGGAAGTTGGAGATAGCAGATGAATTATATAAATTAAAAATTAAAATATAGCAATTTGGTAACATTTTTTTATTAATATACATATTTATGTATATATTGATAAAAAAAAATACTAAATTGCAATAGAAGATTTTCGAGCGCGACGACACCTTCGATCGGTGAATATGCGGGTCTGTGTTGCAGCTCTTCGTCGCGATTGGTTATAGGATCTACGAAGAATTAAACGATAGATGAGTTGTATGAATTATTTGGTTGTAAATTCACGAAAAAAACGTAGAAATTTGATGCATTGATTTTTATTTCGTCTTTTATTTATTTATGATTATTGTTTATTTTATTGGTGTTTTCTTGGAATTTTATGAGACTCTGTTGTGACCGTTGTTGGCAAGTGAATTTCGAAATTGAGTCAATTGACACGGGTACTCTAGCTCTCCAATCATTAGATCATCGCTTGCGGGACGATTCTGAAAATTAATTAAGAAATCACTAAATTCGTGCATAGTGATAATTAAGTTATTGTATTATCAATTTATCATTATGCAATAAAAATTATTCAGCAATAAATAACACAAAATCAATTTTTTTTCAATTATACTTCCTCTGTTCCATAATATATTAATATCTGTCTCTTTTGAGAATTTCTTTTGTTTCATATTATCTGTCATTTTACAATTCCAATGCTACATTAATTGCTTATTTTTCAATTTTACCCTTATTAACTCTATAGCACTCTTCCTGCATTAATTAATAAACAAGGGTACTTTGGTCCATCAATACATATTTTTTAAAAATCAAGACATATTTATTGAGATTTTTAAGATTTGTGTAAAGATGAAAAACAACAAGTATTTAGAAGAAGAGAAAGTAATATTCAATCAACATCCATATAGTTATATACATCTGTCAATTTTTCTGTCCAAATGGAAATGAATGGGTATCCATGTGGGAACTTGATAGCGTATGAGCTAATAAATCCAAGGCGGCACACTATTGATAAATAAATAAATAAATAAATAAAACTTTGAAAAATATAATAATAAATATTTGGTATTGGCTAGGAAAATTTTATGATTTTTCAACATTTAGAAAGTATAGTTTAGTGATTCATATGTTTCCATTTTTTTGTGGTTTTCAACTGTTACACACGTATTGAAAAATAATAATAATAAATATACATGGATTATATGAAATATATAAACTAAACTTATTTTAAACGAGTGATAAGATCTTAGATCTGATAAATTGTTTTAAGAGCTCATAAGTTGTTATATATGTCCTATTTCTAAAATTACTTTTTGAAATGTTTGGATAATAAGCTTATAAAGTTGTTTTTAATGTTTTTAACATCTTAAATAAAAATGTGAGATATTAGAGGATGTTTGACTCAGCTTATAAGTTGTTAAAAACTGCTTATAAGATATTTAAGAACTTATGAGTTCTTTCAAAGTCTTTGATAATATTTTTTTTAAATCTTAAAAATTCAAAATAATAATTTGTTGGATAGCAAATAATTTTTTTTTAAAGTACTCATACCAAACACTGAGCAAAAATAGCTTATAAGTTCATTATCCAAACACTATAAAAAATAATTATAAAAATAAGACATAACAACATCGTATCAGCTCTTAAAACAACTTATCAGACGTAAGAGTTTATCAACTATTTTAAATAAGTTTAGCCAAACGGGGTAAGTATGTCTTTTAAAAGATCTTATAATCTATCTAACCAAATACTTTGAACGAGCTTATAAGCTCTAAACATCTTATAAACTATTTTTAACAGCTTACAGACTTAGCCAAACACCCTCTAAAGTCTAAATTATACTACCAATTTCTCATTAATTATTTCTTCACTAATTATCTCACAATTAATTAGCCAACAACCATGGACCAATTATAAGACAATAAAAAAGCTTCACTAGACCTTGTAAGTTGTTAGCTAATTTCACTTTCAATATTGTATAATATTAATTTTTAATACACACACACATATATATATATATATATATATATATATATATAAACATTTGCTCACACCATTTGAAGAAAAGCTCCACTAAACAACAATGGAGCTTCTCCTCTTCAAGAAACATGGTAACCTAAACAAAACAATTAAAAAAATAGTTGTAATAACAGCCATAGCAATAATCTTACTCGCCTTTATCCGTATCAACAATCCAATCCCGCATAATCATTACTCCAATCCTCCATTATCCAACTACCCAGCAGCAGGATTAGTTATCCCATCTCCAAACCAGCAGCTGATTAATATTAATATTGCGGCACAGGATATAAAGATAACAGACGTCCGAGAAGAGTGCGATGTATTCGCGGGCGAGTGGGTCCCGAATCCGGATGCTCCGTATTACACGAACGACACGTGCTGGGCGATCCACGAGCACCAGAACTGCATGAAGTACGGTCGACCCGATTCGGGTTTCTTGAAGTGGAAGTGGAAACCGGATGGGTGTGATTTGGATGTATTGAACCCGTTTCAGTTGTTGGATATTGTTCGGGGCAGGTCCTTGGCGTTTGTTGGAGATTCTGTTGGGAGGAACCAGTTGCAGTCCATGATTTGCCTCTTGTCCAGGGTAAGTTTTTTTTTACACACAAACACACACTTTTTGGTGTTATTTTCTTGGATTTTTCAAAAAGAAAATCTATATATATATATTTTTTCTTGATTTTATTTAGTGTTTTTTTTTTTTTTTGAGAGTAGTGTTTTTTTTTTTGATGTTATTAACTTTGAACGTGGCTTTGACCATTTTCTAGTCTGGTTTTTTGCAAAATTCAGGCATGGGAATTGTAGTCGTTTGAGATGGCTTTCTGATCGGTCCAACTTGAATCAGCTAGATTCGATGTTGGATGATAAATTTATGCATGAATGAATTATATTTTGAATTTTAGATAACTCAAAATATTAAAGTAGTTGGCATTTTTTGTTGATTCATGCATATCTTTTTTACCCTGTCTACATCCAATCTTGATAATTCAAGTTGGATTGGAAAGTCAATTCAAAGAATAGGTAAATTATGGCCAGATCCCTGATGTAAGGATAAATTACGAAAAAACACCCTAATGCTTGGATAATTACAATCAACCCTCAACTAAGAATCCTTTTACACGTCCACTCTTATGGTGTCAAATTCAACAGAATCTTCTAGATTCCGTAGAATGATCCCTAGTTTGTACTCGTTTTGTACAAAAATGAAGTTTCTGATACACCCCAATGTGATGTTTACAAACCAAAAGACAAATCTTATGATCATATTATGTTGTTTCAAAATATGAAGCTCAAATGGATAAAACGGTGACGTACTGGAGAATATTTCACATAATCTAGAAGATTCCACCAAATTTGACACCGCAAGGGTGGACATATAAGAAAATTCATTGTTGATGGGTAATTATAATTACTCAAACATAATGGGGTTTTCGAAATTTGACATTACTTCATTGGTGACCGTATTTACCCTTCAAATAATTATAAATTATATGTTTTGAGTTTAGCCAAATTCAAACTTAAAAATGGTTAGAGTCGTATTTGAAGTCAAAACAGTATATTTAAAACTCAAACAACATTTATTAATTACATCACTTTTTTTTTTTTTTTTTTTTTTTTTTTTTTAGAGGTTGCCTTAGCTTACTGCTTACCTAACTAATTAAGGCCTCTATTATTTCAAAATATTAGGTACATCAACTATATCAAAGATTAGATTAGATTAGATTAATTGTCTCCTGAAAATGAAAGCTAATTAAAGAATATCACCAGCTAATATGTATTATGTAACCACCTATATTATTTAAAAAAAAATAGAAATCAATGTTATTGTTATTTTTTAAATTAAAAAAAAAATATCAACCAAAAACATGTTAGCCAATATGTCATGTGTTTTTAAGTGTTTTTTGTTTTAAAAATAATAATTACATGTGTGTGAATCGTTTAGGGATAACATATTGTCATATTATATGGCTTAAGTGTCTTTCTCACCAATTATTTTTTTTATTAATTATTTGTATTATTTGTGAGAATTAATATTTGAAATAATAAAAGCAACATGATAAACATAGTAACTAATGTACATTGGTTCTATATAAAATGGCAAATAATATGAACAAGAAAATTCTCTAAAGCAATAATTAATTTGAAAGGATCCCACTAAAGATAATATACTAATTAATTATAGGACAAATAACACTTTATCGTCTGTGGTCTGACATTTTTGCACATGATCCCTAGTACTTTCAATATAAGTAAAGGTTAAATTACGAAAACTCCTCTAAACTTAAGCTAAATAATAAAAAACAACCCCATCTATTCGTAATTATCGAAAATCCGCTGAAGTTTGTTTCTATCTTACACCAACCCCCTTTTAGTGTGACTTTTCACGATTTTTTTTTTTTATTCTAGGGAATATAATTTACACAATTTTAAATGTTTTCTTTTATTTCTCGCCTACTTAACATAAAGTATAATAAACTGTACACATTTTCTGTTAAAAAATTCGATCAACAGTTAATAAGAGGGGAGTTTTAGTTACTACGGATAGGTAATGATGGTTTTTGCTATTTAGCCTAAGCTCAGAAGGAGTTTGTAATTCACCCTATAAGCGAATGACCCCCTTATTTAGTATCAACATATTATAACTTCCTTGTACTTTTAAAATTTTCATTTTCCCAACCAGCATAATTATTTGTCAAGTGAAATGTCACAAGGGATTATGTGCTTATATTGAGTACGAAGGAGTTGCGCGCAAAAGTATCAAATCACAGTGGATTAAGTGTTATTTACCCTTAATTATATGATGTAAATAATAGTTATTTGGGGGCAAGAATACAATAAAGAATTTGATGTTTTCAAGGGAAACCACATAGTATATATTTAGTTAGACAATATTCATATATAATTAGATATGAATAAAATACAAAAAGGAAAATGACAAGTTTGAGGGAATCCAATCTTGGCACGTGCGAACCTCATAAATATGTAGATCTATAAACTTTAACTAAAATTAAAAAAAATCATTTTGTCGTTTTCCCTCCAGCTGCACTTGTTTATCAATATTCCAGAGCTTGGATTTTTGTTCTGCAATCAGCACAATAATATTAACTACTCCTGATTTAGCATATTTGTCTGAAAACGACATGCTTCCCCTGACATTAACTATATAATAATATTATCTTTTTTTTTTTCTCACACTATATTATATTTAAAATTTAAATTAGATATACATAAAACCAAGATTAAATTATTGTCTTGGGTACTTTAATTGTTCACAAAAGAAGAACAGTGCCATGTGCCCTAATTTTGTCTGGAAATTGTTGGTGGCTATAATGAATTAAAGAACTTTTAGTCATTATCAAGATTTTAATTGTGATTAATAATTAACTATCAACAAAATTATTACTACCTCATTTCATATTAAGTGGCCTTCTGGTCACTACAAAAATTCCGATATTAAGTTTCACTTTAGGTTTTCAAGAAAAAATAATTTGTGTATCAAGTTTGCGCTTTTATCGTTGATTGTTCAAATTCATTACTAAGAACTCATTTAATAATATTGCGAAGTGTAATTTAAGGGTTTTCCATAAAAAGTAGACTATGAATTAGATTTCTTAATCGGTGTGCATTTTACTTAAACGCCTCTTAATATGAAAGGGATGTAGTATGTTAATATATATTTTGAGTTTGTATCAAGTGTTGATCGTGGTTAATAATTAAATACCAGCTAAATTAGGTCAAATTACGGTTATCTCCATAAAGTAATGTTAAATTACAAAGAAAAAAAAAATTTGGGGTAATTACCCGTCCAATTTTACGATATCAAATTTACATATTTAATGTGGAATTTTTTCTAAGAAACAATACATAGTTCATGGGTGGTTGTAATTACCCAAACATGATAAAAAAAATTTTCGTAATTTAATATTATCTCAAGGGATAACCGTAATTTGTCTACTAAATTATTACGTTTGCATCAAGTTTTGATCGTGATTAATAGTCAAGTAACAATTAAATTATTATGTTTGTATTTTAATTCTAATTATTCTGATTTTGAAATTTTCGATATTGGAACAATTTTTTTTATTCTAATCTCTAATTTGATTTCGGTGTTTTCAATTTCTTTTTAATAAATAATACAAATTCGTTGTTATTATTCCAATTTTTCTTTAAAGTTTAATAAATAAAATAATACTTTTGTTATTATTCAAGGTAGAGTACCCGATCGACGTGTCTCCAACAACAGACGAGCACTTCAAACGCTGGAAGTACGTAAATTACAATTTCACCCTCGCCTATTTCTGGTCGCCGTTCCTAATCCGGTCCGACGAGGGCGACCCGGACGGTCCAACAAAAACCGGTCTACTCAACCTCTACCTCGACGAACCGGACGAGTCATGGGCGACTCAGATCGACGAGTTCGACTACGTCATCCTCAACGCCGGCCACTGGTTCACGCGGCCCGCCATCTACCACGAGGACCGCCGCCCCGTCGGCTGCCGGTACTGCCAGCTCCCCAACCTCACCGACCTCCCCGCCACCTACGCCTACCGCCGCGTCTTCCGGACGGCGCTCAGATCCATCGCCGAGCGCGTGAGATTCAACGGCGTCGCGATCGTGCGCACGTACGCGCCGTCGCACTTCGAGGGCGGGCTCTGGGACGCCGGCGGGAACTGCGTGCGGCAGCGGCCGTACCGGAGGAACGAGACGGAGCTGGAGGGTTCAGATCTAGGCATGTACGAGGCGCAATTGGAGGAATTTATGGCGGCGGCGGCGGGGGCAAAGAAGAGATTCCGGTTGATGGACACGACGGCGGCGATGCAGCTGAGACCCGACGGGCACCCGAGTAGATACGGGCATTGGCCGGAGGAGAAAGTGGGTTTGTATAATGATTGTGTGCATTGGTGTTTGCCTGGGCCCATTGATACTTGGGCCGATTTTTTGCAGCATATGATAAAAATGGAGGCCCGGATTTCATATATGGAGAGAAAGAATATTAAAATGCATTAAATTCATTTACTCCGGATTTCATATATGGAGTTTTTTAATTTTATCCTTGAATAGTTGTAATTTCATATATATGAAAAATCGGACTGATCGGATAAGAATTTAATGAATAGGAAATTAGATTGTCTGACGCTTTCGAAGGATGCGTTCAGAATCTATATTTGTTTGCTGAGGCCTCGTTTGGTCTATAATGAAAGTAAGATTACATAGTTTTGTGAGAACTCAATTGTGTAAGTACACTAAGAGGAGGACTAATGAATAATTGTCCAATAAAGTAGGGGTGTGGGGGAAACAATGCGAATGTTTTGGATGAAGAATTCGAAATGAATTCGTTTGAATTGAGTTTAAGTAGGAATGATATGAAATGAGTGTAAATGAATATGGATTTGAAATTCACTAGAACCGGTAATAAAATAATCAAAACGAGAACTTGGATACAAGTTATGTACTTATATGTCGAATACCTGGATGCAAACATCGACAGATTTATTATTATGAATTTGTAATGTACCTTGCCAATTTTGGTGGACATTTTTTCTCTAAAACTACAGGTTGGGTCGAAAAGTTATTAAATTAACCAGATATCAAATAAAATTCAATTATTTAAATAATTCATAACTAATGTTTATAAAACAAATGAGGCTATAGAACAAACATTTTTTTATTAAATATAAAATGCGTTCAACTTCTTGAAAGCCATAGCCACAAAGCAAAGTGTTTAGTATTCAGTGATTTGGTGAACCAAACAGAGAGACTTGGTCCTCTATCAACTGCAATTTGCAATATAAAGAAAATCAAATCAAATCAATTGACAATTAGTTAATGACAAAAGCAAACGACAAGGAACTTTTTTATTTTGTGTTTGTAAACAATAACATCCACAAATAGTGCTGTTTTATTTTTTCTTTTAATAAAATTTTTTTTATTTTAATTTTGCTCAATTGAATTTGGAGGAATAATTTTTTTCGGAGGGTAATTTGCATCGACGTCCCCTCGACTTTGGTCTTTTGGTAACGACATTTTGGCTTATACATGCCCTCCGGATGGGGTGTGGTTACCAGAGGAGCAAAGTCGAGGGGAGGTGGATGCAAATTACCCAATTTTCAGATATACCACGTAAAAAAATGTGGCAATAATTACAATTTAATTTATAGGATTAACTCTTTTGGAGTGCATTTTAATTATTGTTCGGTTCATACTAATTGAAAAATGAAAAAATACAATATATTGTGTAGTATTTTGAATTTTTTATTTTTTATGTTAAACTATTTTAATTTTAAGACACGTGGCCTTAAATATTGAAATTTTATTATAATATTGTTGAACACTTATGTTTAATTGCAATACATATTATTTGAATTTTTATTCAAATATTGTTGAGTTAATTATGTTTAGTTATAAGAATATAATATGTTGTAAAAAATATTTAAAAAATTGATTTGTACCGTACTTGTGGACAAACCATCTATCCACCAAAAAAGTTGGATGTCAACCAACACGCACGTAACTCATTTAGTTGAGTCGATAATGGTTTTCAATATTAACCTAAGTCGATTTGTTGGGTTCGTGAGTTGGTTTAATAGCCAGTAATCGACTAACCCAACCCACAAACAACTCTAATAGAAGCAGACCGTGGGAGAAACGGAGCAGAGTTAAATAAATAGATGAAAGTAAATAAATGAGAAATTATTGGCCTCTTTTATGTGCAAGTGTTAAAAAATAAATTAATAAACTTTTGGTACCTTTACTAATAAATGTTAGAAAAATTAATTGGAAAATACAAATAAACATTAATAATTTAATAATTTATTTATGAAATTATTCTTGCAAAACATCATTCCTTAAAATAAAATAAAAATATGTTCCCAAATTGGATAAATAAAATAAAATATTTCTTATGGGAAAATAATTACCAAACTGACCAAACAGTTGCTAATGTTCTCAACGAATCAAAATGTTATTCATTTATAATAGCATTTTTTTGTTAATGATATATTACTTACATTATATTATTGATTATACTTGTGCAAGTGTTAATTAATATTTGAGTAACACTTTGTCGCCGATCAAATATAGCTTGAACGGTCAAAGTTGATATCTCGAGTTTTGACTTAAATTTCATAAGGTCCATATCTATTTAATGCATTCTTTCTTAGTTGTCACTTGTTCATTTCAACACTTATTAGATTTTTTCAAACTTTATATTACTAAAATTATAAAAAATAATGAAAATTCGAAACTCAATTTTGAATTTCCTAACAAAACACGGATCATAACAATTAGGCAAATTACAACCACCTCTGAATGTAATATTAAATTCGAAAAAAAAAAAGACAAATCTTTATATTTGGATAATTACAACCAACTCTCAACTATGTATTTTTTATGGAAAAAACTTCTCCAGTGAGTAAATTTAGGGGTGTTCATTCGGTAAGACTGTACCGAAATTTCGGTACGCTAAAATTTCATACCGTTTACCGAACCAAAAATATGCGGTTCGATTTAGTAAATAACCGAATTACTAAAATTTTATTCAAAGTATTCAAAATTTTGATTTTTTTAATAGATTTTAGTTTAAATAGTAATATTACATATACAACATGTAATAATAAATAAAAAACCGAATATCGGATTTTTGTTCGGTCGTTGCCAACCGATGAACACCCTTAGGTAAATTTAACACCGTAAAAATGAACGTGTAAGACAATACATAATTGAATCCGGTTATAATTACCCAAACATTATGAAAATTTTTTCTTCGTAATTTGCCGTATCTGAGGAGTGACTGTAATTACTAATTTGCCCTACCAATTAATTTAAGTTAATATATTCCCACACTTCCATCCGAATTCTCATTATATTTTTAACATGATAATAGTATTCTTTACACACGTATATACGGTGTATTTTTCATTATATACGGTATATAAATTAGGGGAAATGTGGGATAACCCCCTACTTTTGAAAATATATATGTGGAGGCCCAATGTTTTTTTCTCCCTAAGGCAAAAGCCCAGATTCTAAACTTAATTAGCTAGACCCCCCTGAGGACATAGGATATGACTATTTTACCCTTATTTTCTGTTTTTTTTGGCAAGGAAATTTCCCAACTGTAGAGAAGGAAGCAGCAGCTTATTTTTCTCCCTCCTCCCGGCCGTGTTTTTCACGGTGATTTCTCTCTCGCGCTTTCTCCATCTCAATCGCTTCCTTATACGATTGGGTAGGGTTTCGGATTTTTGGGCGTTTTTAGCGTGATTTGCGATCGTGGTTCAGCTTTCACCATCTCAATCGCTTCCTTAAGGTTCGTTTTTTAATTTTTTTTGCAGAGATTTCATGGCTCGTTTTTGTTTATGATCATGATGTGCGGCTGGGTGTTCGTTGATTTTTGAATTGTGATTATGCATTTTCCTGTGTTTTTGTACAGTATGGGGTTTTTATTCGTCAATTGTGTTTGTGTTTATGCATTTCGATATTACATTGTTTTTTGATTTTTTTAGAGATTTGTAATTATATATACCATAGTAGTCATGTTTAGCATCGTAGACCTGTTGCATATACAGAATTGTGTCGGTTTGATTTTTTCAGAATTTTGTATTTGATATATACCAGAGTAGTCATGTTTAGTATCATACACCTGTTATATACCAGAGTAGTCATGTTTAGCATCATACACCTGTTTTATATTAGAGTAGTCATATACATATTTGCTTTTTTTTGAATTTGTTTGTGTATATTTTTTGATTTGTATTGGTATACACAAGAGTAGTCATGTTTAGCATCATAGATCTGGTGCATGTCAGGGTAGTTAAATATATGTTACAGTAGTCATATACAGTACTTTTTGTTTACAGGGCCAGAATGTCTACAAATATTGTACTAATAATGAGGTTTGGAGAATTATTTGGTGTGAGGAAATGTGTTACTTCCTTTGGATTTCAAGAGTTGGTTGGATACGTAAGGGCCAAATGGGGCTCGTTGCACCAGAACACCATGTCTCTCACGTATACGGTTGTTGGTCATGGGGAGGGTGTGTTGTGTGATGATGACGATGTGTTTTACATGCTGTCATTAGCGCGCGATATGTCTCTTGATCGTGTTGAAGTGAGTGTTAAACAAAGAGAGGGAGTTGTTCCTGATGTGGTATCAAGTGTATCATGTTTGTCTAATCGCGCACAGATGCATGACGAGGTTGCGTTCGAATTTGGTCAAGGTAGTGGAATCAATCACGTGCAAAATGCTGGAATGTGTGGTCAAACTCAGTTGATGAGTGCTAACTGGGCTGATTTGATCAAGGATGTTGGTCAAGTTTTTCGTGGAGGTGCTGTGGAGTTTAGGAAAGCTTTATGCATGTATTCGGTGGAAACTGGATTTGAGTTTACATACGTTAAGAATGAGCGTGTACGTGTCACAGCTGAATGCAGACACAGGACATTAAAGAAATGTATGTGGAGGATACACGCATCAGTTGAGAAGGCCAATGGTTATTTTTATATAAAGAAATTTGAGAAGCATCACACTTGTGGATCTTCTTTTGGGTCGTCAAGGCAGAATAGAATGACGTCTGACATTATTGCTAGTATGATAGTTAATTTGGTACGAGCGAAGCCAGACATGGTTGCTAATGATGTTGTTGTGGATATGAAGCTGAATTATGGAGTCGACATTAGCTATTATGTGGCTTGGAGGTCTGTGACGGCAGGGAAGCAACATGTTTTTGGTGATGATACTAGTTCATACTCACACTTACCGTCGTACTTTGAAGAACTTGGTCGTACCAATCCGGATAGCGTTTACAATCTTGACATCGATGCAGATACGATGAAGTTTCGACGTTGTTTTTTTGCTTTTGGTGCATGCTTGTCGGGTTTTAAGTCATGTCGACCGTCACTCTCCCTGGATGGAACATTTCTGCACAACAAACACAAGGGCATTTTGTTAACTGCAATTGGGCAAGATGGTCATAATAGTAAGTTTCTGTACATTTTAATGTGATTTATGACTATATATGACTATATATGACTATATATGACTATATATTACTAAGGCTGTTGTTGTTTCCTTTTTTTACACAGAATTGTACCCAGTTGCATTTGGCATAGTTAGTGAAGAATCTGATAGCAATTGGGCTTACTTTCTTACTCATTTGAGGGTTTGCATTGGCACGGATCGTGTGGTGACGTTTTTCTCGGATCGCAATCATGGTATTTTGGATGGGGTGAAAAATATATTCCCTGATTGTCTTCATATATACTGCTTGTATCACTTGCAATTAAATTTGTCAAGTAAATGTAGAGGTTGTCCATCTGGTTTTCGAAAGAAGATGGCTCATTTGTTTAATGCCTGTGCCTACGCTCCTACGAAATCTGAGTTTGATGTGCATATAAAGGAGTTTATAGAAACTGGAGGTACAAGGATTATAAATTTTCTAGCAGACCTTCCGTATAACAACTGGACTTGTGCACATTTTGAGGGGAATAGATATGGGCAGATGGCATCTAGTGTTGCAGAATCGTGGAATATGAAGATTGGCGGCATTCGTGGCCTGCCTATAACAGATGTGGTTGATGGTCTTAGGAGTATTATGATGGTGGAAATGTGTGTAAGGGCAGAGGAGGCTGCGGTTATGTCAACTGTACTTTGCACTCCCATTCAGGGTGCTGTTAATAAACTAGTACATGACAGTAGAGTTTTGACAACAAAGAGGGCATCGGAGTACATTTACGAGGTGCTTAGTACTCCAACAGCTGTTGTTGACATTCGCAACAGGTCGTGCACGTGTAGAGCGTGGCAAGTCAACGGTCTGCCGTGTATACATGCTGCGTGTGTTCTGTTCCATAACAATAATGATGGTTACGCATATGTTGACTACTATTACACGGTTGAGTGTTATAAAACCACGTATTCGCACAGTATTTATCCATTTGTGAAGCCAGATTTTGATGGTGATTTGCCTTTGGTTGGACCTCCAGATTATCATATTCGGCGTGGCAGGCCGAAGGTGAAGAGAATTCCTTCGAGAGGTGAGAAGGTTAAGAGGAAGATAAAATGCAGCTCATGCAACCGTATGGGCAATCACAACAAGAAAACGTGCAGGAGGCCTGTATGAAATTTGAGTGGAACAGAAATGTATTTCAATTTCTTTTTTTCTTTTTATACCGCCTTGAATTTGTGTGGAACATAGGTTGTGAATTTTTTTCTTGAGTTTCTAAGTACATGATCTGTTTTTTCGAGTAATGAATTTCGCTATTACTGATACATGTAAGTACAGTTTTCTGTGTTTGGATTCTAACACTTGCAGTCACTTTAGTCATATGAGTATTTTACAACTACGGGGTCTTAAATAGTCATATGACTATGTGACTATAGGTGACTATGTAGTCACAGGTAGTCTTAATGTCATCTAACCTAAAAATATAAATTATTAATAAGTAGTCATTGATAGTCATACGACTTTGTGACTATAGGTGACTACGTAGTCACAGATAGTCACACGACTATGTGACTATAGGTGACTACATAGCCACAAATAGTCAAACTGAAATCTGACCAAAATATGTAGATCATAAACAAGTAGTCAACGATAGTCATAAGACAATGTGACTATATGTGACTATGTAGTCACATGTAGTCATATATAGTCACATTGTAATCTGACTTTATATGACTTTATGTAGTATTCGTAGATGTATGTAGTGGTGTCATACAAAAGTACTACAAAATAACATTTTTGAAGAATGGTAACGCATATAATAGCCATAAGAAAAGATATTTTAAGTACTGCAAAAATAGTCATTCAAAAGTACTACAAAATAGTCATATAAAAGTGCAAATAGTTTTACAGAAATAAAAGCTTCAATTAATAGGAATAATAATTGTCTAATTAATCTTGTAGTGGAGCAATGATTCAACAACGGACCTCCTCATGCAATCGACACCGGTCTCAGCGTCGTTGGTAACCAGTGGAATTTGGCGGAATGTGTTCCTTATAACAAACAGGACAAAAATACCACAATCCCTTGAATCATCTGCTTGTTGGGGTGAGTCATTTACCTCGTGCAGCGGTGCGTTTATGGGAATGGCGGAGATGTTAAACTCCCTAGCTGTGTTTTCGACATACATTTTCTGTGTACATGAATGAATTAGATATTTGTTTTATTAAATAAGTAGTTGTGGAAATAAATTGTCAGTAGTTGTTTACCATGTCGGTGGCGTCAATCAGGTATGGGTCCTTAAGACCTTTGCGAGGATGTAATGAGTTGTAGAAACGCCACTCATTTGAATTTCTGTCCAATATTAACAGTGTCCAGTGGTTAGCCCCGGTTTGAGGATTACCGTCGGAGTGTAATGGGAAGATGAGGTATCTATGTTTGCTAACTTCTGCTGGTATGCGGAATGTTTTATTTTTGGACTGCCTCAACGATGTCTGTTAGAACTACTGATTAGTTACCACGGGAAAACATATACTTCTTTTCTAAAAAAACAATTACAAATATATTATCGACTTTGTACCAGTAGCATGCTGGTGAACGTCATGCTTGTTCCCTTAAGCGACTCATAAGAGCTACCTTCAAACAACCCTGCAGCTTGCTGATGTCCCAATATCTCGCAGTAAGCATCTATAACCTGTGATTGTACAGTGTTATTAAATTTGTGTACATAACGTGAGCAGGATAGGTTGTACAGTGTTATTAAATTTTTTTTTACCTCGCCCGAAATAGCTTCCTTTCTGAGGATGATAAAGATGTCAGCCATCCGAACATGAATATTGCCATCTGGATTCTTCCACACTGTTCTACTGCATTTATAAACATTTTTTGAAGTATGAATAACACATGTGATTGTGCAGTCATGGGTAGTCATGGGTAGTCATATGACTATATGACTACTCTTGACTACATATATGAATAGTCATATAGAACTAGTCACTAATAGTCATATAGTTATATGACTATATATGATTGTATGAAGTAGTATAATTTTTCATATAGATGACTGGATATATGACTGTAGTTAGAGTTTACTTACTTCCCATGCACTATTTCATCTGCCATTGTGTTTATTATCGCCTTGTCTCTCGCACTCATGCCGATGAATGTGTTGTATTTTTTGTATCTGAAATCCCTACGTGCTTTCTTGGTGCTACGTGGTGTGACTTCATGTTTTTTTGACCTTGTACGCTTTCCAACTGCAGATTTTGGGTCCTTTAGCTTGGCCTCGATATCTTCGTCACATATCTCAAACTCACTGTCCGAATGTATTGGTGGGCGCTCATCAAGTGCCTTTGCATATTCTACACAATTAGCTTCCAACTCGGCTATCTTTTCATCCCTTTCTCTAATTTTATCAAGATGAGTTTTCTCAGCTGATTTTAGGAGGGTGATTTCAGCTTCCAAGAAGATTCGGGCTGCTGTGTGCTCAGGCATGTTTGTGAGTGAGATATTTTCTGCTTCAAACTCTTGTGTCAGCGAAAAAGGTTTTTCGGGTTGTACAGTTGTTGTAGCATTTGTCAACTCTTCAAGACGTTTGATGAGGGATTCATTCTCTGCCTTCAGTTCTGCATTCTCTTTGATTTTTTGTTGCAGCTCACTCTGGTTCGGCTGTGTTTGACTCAAGATATTGAAAGATGGCCCATCATCATTGCTAAGCGCGACCTCGTCCTGTAGTTTTGCAAGTTGAAGAGCGACATGTGCCTTTTCGTCAACAAGAACCTGCTTGTCGTTTTTTAACATGACTATCTCCATTTGAAGTTCTTCTACGACAGCTTGCAATTTCGACACTTGGGCCTCCTGTTCTGCTCTTTGTTTTGCTTCTACCTCCAACAGCCTCTTTGTTTCATTCAGCTCGGTTGTGATCTTGACTTCATCTGACGACTGCCGCTTTTTGCACCAGTTTTTGATTGGGACATTCTCGTCAGAATCAGAAGGAGTGGCAGAATGAACACTAGCATTGCTGTTGTTATCGTTGTTATGTTCATCGTTTACATCATTGCTGATATCGTCCAGGACCAAGTTTCCATCTAAGATTTGTTGTTCTTGCTCTGTTGGGATCAGCGGATTCTCGTTGACGAGTTGTGGATCGATATCGTTCATGTCTTTGCTGCTCAATGTAGATGCAAGCTCGGATATATCCCACCTCCGAAATCTTGGAAAAGCAAAATCAGCCAGCGGAGGCACGATTGCTACACGCTCACACATCCAATACTGCGTAAATAAACATAAACAATTAGTCACATTTGTGAATGTACATGATAGCAAGTGACTATAAGTGAATGTACATGACTGCAAGACTATAAGTGAATGTACATGACTGCAAGTGACTATAAGTGAATGTACATGACTGCAAGTGACTATACGTGACTGTACATGACTGCAAGTGACTATAAGTGAATGTACATTACTGCAAGTGACTATAAGTGAAAGTACATTACTGCAAGACTATAAGTGAATGTACATGACTGTAAGTGACTATAAGTGACTATTCATACTTACCAGGACAAGTGGTATGCAACCACGGACTTTGTCATTTTTGTTTGATGTGTGGATTTGCTTAACCAAGAAATCCGTTATCCCCCTGGCCCAGTTGAAGTCATTTGTTTGGTCGATATCATCGCAGTACTTGAACATCCACCAAGCTACGATTTCAGCTGAAGTGTTGAAAAGGACGGTTGACATAAGGTGTAGGATTATTAATCTGACCACATCTTCAATGTCTTCATCGTCATCGCTATCTATGTGCACTGCAGAAGCTGGTGTTTCAAAGTTTTTTGGTGGAGCGATGGGTGTGCGGCGAATCTTCGTGCTGCGAGTCCTTGTTGCGGCTTCTTTGACCAGTCAAAAGTCATCCGTGTGTTGCCAGATTGGATGCCAAAGATTAACTTGCAATCTTGTGGCGTGATTGTAATATTTTTGCCTCCTATATGGAATGCCCTTTCTATTCTGCTGTATGACGTCATTATTTTGAAAGTTCCATTCTGTGTGCCTGCGACTTCATCTCTGCTGAGTTTGTGTTTTGCGAACGGTAGAACGAGATGGTAGAATGGGGTACGGCGAAGACATGCATAGTGAGGTGGTCGTAGGTGTATATCTTCGAAGAAGGTCACGATTGATCGCATGTTGGCTCGGTATTGTGTCCATTTTCCCTTCTTATGTCTGTCTATTTGTTCATTTGTTTCAGTACCTGCATAAAGATGTTTATATATATGTTAGGGTGTGAACATGACTGCTAATAACTATTCTTGAAAACAATACTCACACACAAAACACACATGAGGTAGTAAGCAGGATGTAGTAAGAATGAATGTGACTGCATATGCAAATATGACTATGTAGTACTACCCATGACAACAACACCCAGACTCAGGAAAAACACACAAAAGCTGAAGTATCTATGTGACTACACATATGAATATGACTATCCAGAACTAGCCATGACAACAACACTCACAACAACAAAAAAAAGCACAATTGCTTCAGCAAAGGATGGATGTGACTATATATGAAAACAACACCCACACACAGAAACAGCACAAATACTGAAGCAGAGGATGGATGTGACTACATATGACTACATATGACTATGCATTACTACCAGTGACAGCAACACCCACAAACAAAAACAGCACAAACAAAACAGCATCCATGAATGTGAGCACATATGACAATATGACTACGAAGTGCTACCCATGAAAACAACACCCATACACAAAAAAGCACAAAATCTGTGGCATGCATGAATGTAACCACATATGCAAATATGACTACGAATTACTACTAATGGAAACAACAATCAGACACCAAAATTGGATACATGACTACGGTTTTTTCACAAATTTGAAGTAGTGAGATGGTTGAAGTAGGGTAGTACCTGTTGATAGGTTTTCAGCCTGTGCCATTTTTTCCTTTCGACTACGGCCTGGAAAAAAAATGTTTGAAGGGGTTTTTAGTTACCAACGGAGGGGGAAAACAAAGTATGTTGTTGTAATGTAGCCATAAACTTACGTTTTGCCGGTGTCTTCTTCGCCATTGATGGAAGGTAACTACTGTTGGTGGTATACGATTTTGAAGAGCAGAAGTTGACTAGAATTGCGGTTGTTTGGGTTGCTATCGACGAAGATGCCTAACCTTCCTCGGTTGGGTTGCCGTTTCCGGTGAATCCTCGCAGCGAGAAGATGGGTGCGATTTTGCAGAGAGGAGGTTGATTCTTCCGGTGGTTTTTTTGGTAGTGGAGGGACGGGTGATTTGGGAATTGATTTTGAAATTTGTGTAATTCCGTATATGGGCTGGGTTTGGGGTTCAGGGGTAATTTCGGGTTTTTTTGGGCCAGGGGTGTATCTCAAAGAAAGATTTTTAGGGGTGGACTTATGCCTATATATTTTACATTCTAGGGGTGTATATCTAATGGACCCTATAAATTAATTTCAAATATTCCTTTTTTTACTCTCTTCTGAAACAGCTAGTAGTTTTAGTTTCAGTGATTTGGTTGCTGAATCAAAAACTTCTCTCTCCATTTTGACCAAGTATATATTATTCAGTTAGTCGCCCCCACGTTTTCTTCTCATTGTTTACCATCTCTTCCTCGCCGGATCAACAACAATTTCTCCTTCTCGATTTCTGTTTCTGTTTCTGTAAGGTTAGAATTTCGCCGAATCAATTTTCTGCATTTCGATTTCTAGTAAATATATAATTCGGAATCTACAGTAACTGCTCTACTGCTTGATATCAGTCAGTGTTTAGAACTTGATTTTTGGGGTTTGTTTGAATTTATTGATCTAGGTTTTGTGTGCATTTGATTTTTTGCCCCCAATTCGACTTAATCGGCAACTGATTTCTGAAGTTCATCTGATGCTTATTGGAATTGAAGGATAGTTGTATAGATTTTAGTTTTTTTTTTTTTTTTTTTTTGAAGTGAAGACTGTAGAAATTAGTAGATTTTGGGTGCAAATTCGAATGAAGAATGTTTTGTGTTTGAATTGAATTGAGCACAAAAAGTATTCATAAAACGATGTCGTCTAGATCACCCCCTCCAAACACTCCCCCCATAGCAGAAGTCCCACCACCATCTTCTTCCACAAATTCCTCGTCTCCACCTCCTCAATCCTCTCCGCCGCCCGTTCCCCTTTCGCCGCCTCCATCACCGCCAGAAGCCCCTCCACCTTCCACATCTGCACCACCGCCTAAACCACCCCCTTCACCACCACCATTACCGCCATCACCACCTTCGCCTTCTTCACCTCCCTCATTGCCCCCACTATCACCCCCACCATCGCCGCCCCAACCTTCTCCACCACCCCCATTGCCACGACCATCACCCCCTGACGCCTCACCCACCGATTCACCCCCTCCTCCAGCCTTGTCTCCGCCCCCACCATCACGCGGTTCTCCACCAAAAGCACCCCCGGCCCCGCCCGTGGCATCACCCCCACCTTCACCCCCAGTTGTTACACCTTCTCCTCCTCCTCCTACCGCCGATTCTCCACCTCCGCCCGTTACACAACCACCAAAGCGTTCCCCTCCATTGCCACCCCCTCCAACTGACCCCACACCGACCAATCCTCCAACTCCAGCCTCCACTGTATCTCCTCCCCCTCCCCCGAATAATTCATCAGTCAACGGAAGCGCACCAGTCTCACCTCTTCCATCCTTGCCTCCAGAGAAACCTACTGCTAAATTAGCTCCATCTAGTCCGAATATAACCGCAAATACCCCTACCCCACCGGGGAGTTCTGGGGGTCTAAAAGATGGAGGTGTAGTTATAGGCAGCATTGTTGGCCTTTTAGCGCTGTCTTTAGTGGTTCTTGCTGTGTGGTTTACTCGTAGAAGAACGAAAAGGAAGTACGCATCTGCTCCTAACTCTGAAACACCCTCGCCTTTTGCATCCTCCCTAAATTCAGGTACTAGTTTGGTATGTTTTTATTTTCCCCTTTCGTGTACTTCTTATTGTTGTTCTATTCATCTTTACATATCAAGGGCCAAGAGGGGATTGTGTTTGTAGACATTCTCTTTTGTAAGTGAATAAAAACTCATTCTTTGAGTATTCCGTTCTTTTTTTCTCATTCAGAATCAGGTTTTTTAAGACCCCAACGATCATCTAAACCAGGCGGAAATGGTTCGCCGAATAATTTTCTGTACTCACCGGATGGTGGAATGGGCTCTTCAAGAACCTGGTTTACATACGAAGAAATGTCGCAGGCGACAAATGGATTTTCGGAAGAAAATATTTTAGGTGAAGGTGGATTTGGCTGTGTGTATAAAGGGGCTCTTGTAGATGGAAGAGTAGTTGCTGTAAAACAGTTGAAGGTTGGTGGTGGGCAAGGAGAGCGCGAATTCAGAGCAGAAGTTGAGATTATCAGCCGAATACACCATAGGCATTTGGTGTCGCTTGTGGGCTATTGTATCTCTGATCATCAAAGATTGCTCGTCTATGATTACGTTCCGAATAACACTCTGCACTACCATCTACACGGTAAGCCTAAATTTTAGTGGTGTTTAAGTTTGTTCCTTTTTGTGAAAAGTGTTTTCGAGTTTAGGTTTCGGAAGTTGAAAGCAAAAAGCTCCTTCGGGAATATATGCAATCACTGTCTTACTTCTCGAGTTTATGCAGCTGAAGGTAAACCAGTAATGGATTGGGCTAGTCGAGTGAAAGTTGCTGCTGGTGCCGCACGAGGACTAGCGTATCTTCATGAAGACTGTAAGCTCTCGCCACCAGTTTCAATATATATATATATATATATATATATATATATATATATATATATATATATATATATATATATATATATATATATATATATGTTTCCACTTTTCCGGTATTCTCGATACTATTTAAATATATATATATTTACATATATATATATCGAGTATCTCCGACACATGTATATATATATCTCTCTATGAATGAGTGATAAATGTAAATGATCCATCGACATTTATCTAATCCAATCAGAATGTTTCTTACTTTGTCTTTGTAGTTCTACATAAAGATTAAAAACTTTCTATCCAGGAGATTTTCATCCTATCATATATATATATATATATATATATATATATATATATATATATATATATATATATATATATATATATATATATATATATATATATATATATATATATATATATATATATATATATATATATATATATATATATATATATATATATATATATATATATATATATATATATATATATATATATATATATATAGATATATATATATAGAGATATATAGATAGAGATATAGAGATAAATATAGATATATAGTCAGAGAGATTGATAAACAAAGATCTGTATAGATATATTTAGCATAGTATCTAGATATAGTTATATTTCCAAGGATATAGTATGTATATATATATATATATCTATATATATATATATATATATATATATATATATATATATATATATATATATATATATATATATATATATATAT